GGAAGCGAGCGAACAAAGAGGTTATACAACAAAAAGGATAATAATTACTGGGAAGTTGAGATTAAAAACAAAAGAAGAAGGGACAGTTAAAATACCACAATTATGTATATACATTTATATATAATCCATTATTAATTAAAAATCAACAAAATATATAACTAGTTGGTTAGTTGAAATTAACCTATTTTGGCCAAGACAGGCTATGTTTTGTCATATAATCAAATGCTGATGTTTATTAAATATTAATACTGTAGAGGCAAGCTTACCAAAAGCAACAGAATTAATTAACATATGTAAAACTTTAAACGCACACAGGCACCGTTTGAGCGATGCTATTTAGTACGATATGTTACAATATGTTCAAAATTTAAACTTGAATCAATAGTTCTGGAACAAATTCAAGTTTGTTGATTTGTAATTGGCCAATATCACACTATTTAAATAAAATCGCTCAACCGGTGATTGTGTGCCTCTAATTAAATAAGTTTCCCAGAGTGACACTCTCTTATATTGGAGTTTGGTAAAAGTTGTGCCTGAGTCTCTGGCAGAAATGGGCTAATTAAGCATATTATGTATTACTCTAAAAAAATTAAATTAATAATATATACAGTAATTATAAGCTAAAAGCATTTTTACAAATTGAGATACTCAGTTTCTCAGGCCGATACCTGGGGCGCACAACAACTTGACCATCCTTAAGGATGTAGGTTTTAGGGCTCCATGAGAGGAATGGTCGAAGTTTGACTGGAAAGTCTATCTTCAAGCCATCTCCTATAGAGTCCGCTATCTTGCCCCAATCCCCTGGGAAATCGCAAATCTGAAAATCAGACTTTTCCAAGAGAACTGCACCTCTTTCATTGCTGATCTCCCCCTTTCCACCAAAAAAGTAGCGAAATACATCATGCCGAAAAAGAATGACTGTTGGCAGCATACTTTTTGATTTCAGTTGTTCCAGGATGCCGCGCGCATGCCAAAGAATCCCTTGCATCCTGAATCATATCCTCTGCCGTTGCTGGGTTTTCAAAAGCTCTGAAGTGAAAGACAAAATATTAAATACATTTTAAGAATACATGCATCCCTTTCAAGAAGAAAGACCATGGGGATGAGGTTGAGCTTAACCAACAGTCTAACTAGCACAAAGCTAGTCTATATAAAAACAACAAATTCTTATTTGCCTACAATGTTTATAGTCGTGCTAACAGCTAAAGTTAATAAACTTTAAAACAAATCAATGTTACCTTATTGCAGCAGCATTCAGGTTCTCCTCTGGCTCCCAAGTGTTTTCCAGGCTGGAATAATTTTTCCATTTTACATAATAATCTACCTGTAATACAATATCAATATATTCGAGCGTTTATATATTTGATAAAACACATTTGTCACCAGAGATTGCCGACGAAATATGGGAGTATAGTTAGTGAACAGAAGCATATAAATTTACAAACGTATAAATTTACCTTTCCTCGTCGATTTCTTCGCGAAATTACCCGCTCGACCTCGAACAACTCACGCGATGACTTTACGGCCTTTCTTTTAATATTGATCCTCGTTGAATATTCATAAAAATCAGCTGTGCTCAAGTTATTCAACTCTTTGTAAAAAGACGTTGATTTTTATGTTTACTACAAGTCACGCGAACGTGTCACGCACATGCGTGGAAAATTTTTTGCGCCCGCGAACGGAAACGCTGACTGGCCGAGATTTCTAGCCATGTCTTCATCATCTGTGATAGCTTCTTTCTCTCGTCTTGCACGTTTCTCCGCAATCGATTCGCTTTCCCAGTAGGTGGCTTTCATTTCACTATCCAGCACTTTTCTGAACGTCTTGAAACTGAGTAATACACATGCTCACATTACAATTAATTAAACTAAACCATTGATTAAAAATGAACAAATTCAACCTACGAGTGATGTTAGCATTTAACTGACATGTTAGCTTCAGCCCGGCCATTTTCGTCTAGATGTCGTTTCATCGAGCATATAATTTGGTATACTGTTTGCCCGGGATATGGCTTGCCATCCTTGTTGCAAACTTCTTGAACACATTTAATAAGCCAGAAGTTTAACGTTCTTGCCGTCGTTGAACACAAGTCTGTCTCCAAATTTTGCAAATTCTGCAAATCTAAGTTGAAAGATTTGCACACATGACTGCTTTATTTTCTCGCCCACTTTGCCATGAAATCTTCAAATATACGTACTCCCCAACGATTTTTATCACGCGTTGTTTGTGGAATAGCATTTCGGACGTTATCAATGCTTCTTTCCACGCTTTGAAGATCTCGAAATCTCCTCTTTTTGCAAATAGATGCCATGCTTCATTCGAAGGCGAACAAATACTACAACAACAACGCCTTTAATTCGTTCCTTCGTTACGCATTCGCCTCATTGAACAACTTGAAATTCGCTATTGTTACTGCCTCATCGCTATGAATATCTAATGATGTGTGAGAAGCAATTTCAAATCGTAGTTTCAAATAGTGTTTTAAACTTGGCTTCCAAATCCCCAGTGCCATGAACAATGGCTCGGCTGCGCCTCGCCATTGTTCATGGCACTTGTATTTAGAAACCACGTCTAAAATACTAACTCGGATTTGAAATATTACTTATGAATATGTAAATTAATCCGATTCAACCAAGCGTATGTGAAAGTACAAGAGATATTATTTTGGATCTCTTACAGAGGTCTTTTAGTTCCAATAGGAAATCTTTGAGAATCTACGCAATATATGGCAGTAGATTGATGTTATGCATTACGGGCATTCAATCAAGTGCAGAGCTAGGATGGAGTGAGACAGTGTTGTTTTCAAATATATAAACATTTCAAACATGAATATTGAGAAAATCTTTGAGATTCTACGCAATATATAAATTGATGTTATGTATTACCGACATTATTTAGGCCGCATATTCATTATACATCCACTGTATAAGGTGCTATACCGCAGATTTACACGCACCGTCACGGACCTTGTTTACATATCTAGCACTGTAGCACAACGCCAACGGCGCAAACTCATGTTCAGTGCAACGAGAACTCTATCAGATCTTGCGAGAATCCATCTGTATCAAAGCTTGTCAAAACTGCTATAAACACTGCTATAACTGTAAAAATATTGAAACCTAAAGAGACATTATTGAAT